GGGAAAGAGAGTGAAGGTGTTTATAAGGCTGGAAGGGCAGCTGCTTGCCTGGTGTTTGTGGAGCACTTTGGTTTTGACCCATCCCCACCCTTTGTGTCTCCTGCAGAATCCGGACAATCAGATAGTTCAAACCAGCAAGGAGATGCGGACATCAAACCACTGCCCAACGGTCAGTGCCCCCTGCCCTCCTGCCTGTACCCAGCCTCCCTGACCTGCTGTGCCCACCAAGTCCTCCCCACACCCTTCTCTGCTCTCCCCGGCCAGGGCAGGCCTGCCCCTGCCATTCCCCTTCACTCAGCTGTCCCTTGACTGAACTCAGGCTGCTATTCAGAGGGGGAGGGCACTCATCGGTAGCACACCCTAACTCCCAGGGAGATCTGAGACCCCTGGGGGCCAGCCTGGGGCTGGGACACGGGGCATGGGATGAAGCAAGTTGAAGGTGGGGAGAGCTTTGGGGAAACAGGCAGACATCCCCTCCTGGCCTTGTCTCCACACACTCACTTACCCTTTTCCCTCCTCAGGGCACTTAAGTTTCCAGGACTGTTTTGTGACTTCCGGGGTCTGGAATGTGACAGAGCTGGTGAGAGTATCACAGAGTGAGTCCTTCCTTCTGGGCCAGGGCTGAGTCAGCAGGGATGGGGGTGAAGCGGGGGGACTTGGACCCCACGTAGGCCCCCACTGATGGGGTCTTGGTTGGGGCGGGGGCAGACAGGTTTCCTGGGACACTCTGGGCCTCACTGTCATGGGGCTGGGTGGAATGGAGGCATCCAGAGAGCCCCACCTCTAACCTCCATTGCTTTGGAGGAAAAAAAATCGTAACCAAGGACTCTTCCCAACAACCTCCAGCCAGGAGGAGGTTTCCTCAGCAGCCTTCACAGTGAACTCACCCCAGGGCTTCTGGGGAGCTGCTCATGGCAACAAAACAGGCGCCCACACTTTCCAAACCTCATCACACTCTCCCTTCTTCCCAGCTCCTGTTGCGACAGCATCAGGGCCCAACTTCTCGCTGGCAGACCTGGAGAGTCCCAGCTACTACAATATAAACCAGGTGACCCTGGGGCGGCGGTCCATCACCTCCCCTCCTTCCACCAGGTGAGCCCTGCACCCCGGCCTCCCCCCAGCCCCCAGGTATCTCAGGCGCTTTGGGCAGCTGTACCACTGTGGCCTGGGTGCTTCAGAACATCATCCTTTGTTCAGGGCACTGGCTCCAGAGCTGGGGCTCACTATGCTCCCCAACCCCTGAGATTCCTGCTTTGTGCTGACACAGGCACTCGCCCCTGGGGACACAAACTCAAACGAGGCATGGCTTTGCCTAGAAGGTGCTCCCCGTGGGCACTGGAGAAGACCTCTCTCTTGGGGGTGTGACATTTGAGCCCAGGGGTCTGGTACAGGCATGGGGTAGATGCTCGAGGTAGAGAGAGCAGCCTTCAACCTGGCCAAGGCTGGACGGGCTGGCGGGACTGTCCCACGGAGGACTTCAGAGGCCAGAGGAGGGTGTTTAGGGCTTAAAATCCGCTGACGGCTTTTAAGTCAAAGATGCTGGGGATATGTGTTCTAGAAAGTACTTCTAGAAGAAGTTAGAGGCCATCCCAGCAGGTCGGAGGGGAGGAGGGCCTGAGTCAGATGGGGGTTTGGCCTGAGAGGGAGGGATGGAGTTGAGAGATATTTGGGAGGTAGACACAGTAGGCCCTGGTCAGGGCCAGTCACGCAGGGCAAGGTGGGATCCTGTCCCTTTTTAAAAAAACCTTGGACATTTTGGTTCATTGTGAGGTTTGGGCATTCATTTTGATATGTTAGAATATTGCATTAAAATGTTATGATGTTTTCATATTTAATCACACTTTAATATAAAATAACATAATATCACGATGACTGAGTTTTGTGTCACCCCCTGGCATTTTTGTCCCTGGCCAGTGCCTCACACGCCTCGCCCTAGCCGTGGGAGCTGGTGGGAAATAGGAGGTGGGGCTGAGGAAGGAGTTGAGGGTTTTGCCCACTTCTTTGACTTGGGCAGCTCCATAGATGATGGATGGTACTGTGACTGAGAAGGGGCTCAAGGAGGAGTGGGTGGGCTAGGCCCAAGGGGCTCTAGGTCTGGCCTTGGGGGGTGGGCACACAGCGAGTGCCCTGAAGTGCTGCCGACGGCGGGCACCCACTGCCCACATGGAAGACTGTCGGCGCAGGCTTCCTCGGCCTGCGTACCAGCACCTCAGCTCATCCTTGGCCCACCTGACCCCTTTCCTCCTTCCCCAGCACCACCAAGCGCCCCAAGTCCATCGATGACAGCGAGATGGAGAGCCCTGTCGATGACGTCTTCTATCCTGGCACAGGCCGCTCCCCAGCAGCTGGCAGCAGCCAGTCCAGCGGGTGGCCCAACGATGTGGATGCAGGTATGGGCGCCACGAGGCCCCACCTGGAGCAAGGGCAGCATGGAGCCTCCTCTTCCCCCTCAGTTTACCTGGCAAACCTCCCACCGTTCCTCCTCCTGTTGGTGGCACTGCCCGTCCTCTCACCCCCTGAGCTTCCAGAGGAGGGCAGACCAGGAGAGCAGAGGCGAGCAGCCGCGTTGTCCCTGAGTGGGCAGTAGAGCCCACCGATGTGGCAGAAGGAAAGCAGAGGCCCCGACCCTGAGCCTCCGGGGCCCTGCAGTGGGGGCCGTGGCCTCCTCCTCAGAGCCTCCTCGCCCTCCTTCTCTTGGTATTTCTTGAGAGAGGCTGCCCCGGTTCTACGGTCTTCATGGTTTAAAGCCATTTCTCAAACTGGGCACTCTTGACATTTGGGGCCACGGTATTCTCTGTAGCGGGGACATTTTGTGCCCTGTAGGGTGCTGAGCAGCAGCCCTGACCTCCACCCACTAGATGCCAGTAGCAAACCTCCTCACCAGGTGTGATGAGCGAAAAGGTCTCCGGACATTGCTGAATGTCCCCTGGGGGGGGACAGGCCCTTCCTAAGTTGAGGGCCACTGGTCTAAAGGGCCCACCTTCACAGAGAGGAGCAGAGCCTAGTAAAGAGTGAGCAGAATTGTTTTCAGGCTTCCCAATCCTCTCTAACCACACCCTTGCTGGTGCATACACCCACCTTCACCTCCAGTCTTGACAGGAGGTATGGGCACACCTGGAGAGCCCAGGCGGGACAGAGGGGGGCGGTGTGTGTGTATGTATTGCACAGGTGTGTATAAGGAGGCTGCCTGCAGGATGCTTCTGCCGGACAGACACATTGCTGGTGCAGCCTGTGTGTGTCCTCACAGTATGGGTGTCTTGGGACCAGGTAGTGCAGACCTCTGTGTACGGGATGCGCATGAGGTGTGTCTGCGTTGGCCAGGCCTGGGGACAGGGGCCTTGTTCTCTGACGCAGGAAGACGAGGGTCTACCTGATGGTGTTTTGCTTGGTATTTTGCAGATGTTCCCCTACCGGGAAGGGCCAAGTGGATGGGCAGGGGCCAGGGCTGGGGGAGAAGCAAGACTAAAGGGCAAGGGGGTGCTTCTGCTTTCCTGCTGCCCCAGATGCAACCTGTGGCTTCTGCTCCCAGCAACCTGGGAGGAAGAGAGGACTCACCTCCAGGCCTTGGGCTGAGGGAGAGGGTCAGACCAGCAGCAAGGCTCACCTCTGCCGGACAGCGCTCCGGCACGACTCTGGGTGCCCCTCCCAGGGTGTCGTGGCCAGCGGGGGCCCGGGGCCAGCACAGCACAGATGCTTCCTGGGGGAACCTCTGGAGGTGCAGAAAGAAGGGGTTGAGAAGGCCCTGAAGACTCCCCAGCTAGGGCCTCAGTGAAGTGTTTCCTCAAGGACTGGTGTGCCTTGAGGGCCATGTCTACTGCTGGCTCCTGAGGCGTGGGGCCCCAGGTCCCTCTGCGCAGACCTGGTTCCCGAGGAGCCCTCCCCTCCGCAGTTCCCTCTCTCTCCTTTTCTTGGCTGCCTGCTGTCGAGCCTGCCATTTCTGCTCCTTCCAGCAGTCCTGCCACGCACGGCCCCAGCATCCTCCTGCAGCGCAGCACCCCCAGCTCCCTCTCCTTCCCCACTTTTCCTGTGTACTCATCCCCTCCTCCCACCGACCCTGTGCTGTTTTCCTGTTCTGGGACAAATCACCAATTAAGCAGCCCAGCTGCAGGACTGGGAACAGCTGGGGAGGCACTGTGCGGCCATGGGGACAGCTGTGCACAGCTGGTGGAGGCGCTCCCCCCATCGTGCCAGCTATCAGGTGGCACACAGCTGCTGCCAGATAACACCTCTGCTGGCGGCTGGGAGTTCACCCTTTCCCCGCCTCTTCCCTCTGTGGTTAAGACAGCTC